CTTGGAAAATATTTTTCGCATGTAAAATACTCTATATGAATTTAGGAATTTTAATTTTTCCCATAAAAATCCGCAAGTATTATCTGCAAATAAAATTTCCATGTAAAATTCTCATGTAATTAGCATTTTTCTTGTAGTGATTTGTCTTTTAAAAAATTTGAAGTTGTGAAGTTTCTTATCTCAAAAGATCTTGTAAAACATATCTCAAGGATGTTTCTTATCTCAAGAATGTTTCGAGGAGATGTATGTGCCTTCGTGATAGGAGGCTTGGCTCTCATTTTGGAAAAACAAAGATATCATCTTCACGTACATTATTTTACTTCATTTCGCCGTTTCCTTTTCTCCTATTAATTCATATAATTTTAATATGCCTTGGTGTTTTAGATGAATTCTGTAGTTATAATTGCTTAAGTTTATCTATTACAAAGCTTAATTAAAAGTTTATTAGATTCTCATTATGAATGTGATTGTTGTAATTAATAAGATCTATCTTTATCCTGCAAACAAGGTTGAGACTGCTAATAAGCTTTGATTTTGGGTTAGCATGTATACTTTCTTGGCCGGTTTGCAGGTTGATATTTTTACCTTTTTTTTCCATTGACTCACGTAATAGTTTCTTTACCTATTGTTGCTCGATCAATTTGTTTCTTTAAAATGGCTTGGGGGACTGACCCACCGCTCATGAGATCTTTTTGCATAATATAACATATTCTAAAACATCTTAGACAACTTTTGTCAAGATTCTCCTTGTAATCTGATTGGAAATTAAGATCATTTATGTTACTGGTCTTCATGATATAGTAATTCAGAAGAAAGAATTTTGTTAGTTTGAGATTGAATATGTTCATACTAAAAAAAAAAGTTTGCTTTTATTATTTTATTTATTTAAAGACCCCAGTCTTAATAGAAGATCACGATATTGAAGAAAGGCTTTGAGGCCTATCAAAGAGTGTAGATCGAAGGAAAATTTAGGGGAGAAATTCAAAAATAGCCAGATTTACCATTGGTCGTTGAAAAATAGTCAAGTTTCAAAAGTCATCGAAATTTAGCCACTTTAAATCTGAGCGAAAATACTGTTCAAAATCCGGAAAAATACGCCCGCAAATTTTACGGGAGTTCCAGCATAATTATGCTGGAACTCCCGCAAATTTTACGGGAGTTCCAGCAAGTATAATTGTCCGGTATAATATACTGGAGTTTGGAGCACTGGTGCTCCAGTCTCCCGCAAATTTTACAGGAGTTAGCAAAGTATACCGGTCCAGCATAATATGCTGGAGTTCGTACACAAATGCACCAGAACTCCCGTATATTATACTGGACCGGTC